TGCCACTGCCTGACGGGAAGTGTTTGACGACGTACCTGACAGGATTGTGACATTATTCATGTCATGACCAGCGCGTCATATTTGTCAAACCATCTTGCCAAGTAAAGGGGGTTACCACAAGAGCACCCAAACTTAAGCGGCTAGATAGATGGATGGATGGATGGATGGATGGATGGATGGATGGATGGATGGATGGACTCAAAGTCGCCGAAGTTCGCTAAGAAATGCTTCGCATTAAAAAATTTTTTTTCAGTGTGTGGAACATCGTCGAGGGTTGGCTAACACCCATTCAAAGAGATTCGATTATGTAAAAAAATCACAACATATCCACAGAAAGAATGATGATGAGTTGGGCGAAGCGTTCGTAAATCTGGCCGTCTATCCATCCATGCGTCAGTCCGTCCATATGTGGCTCTGTTGTAGAATAGTGGACAGCAACGCAGAATATTGGGTTTCAATTCCTACTGGGACCCTGACTTTATTCTTTGCACTTATTGGGTCAGCGCTGTCGACGTGAGCTTTTTCTTAACACTCTCGTGATAAAAATACCAATATCTGTTCTCACCGTCCCTCGGTAGGTATGGTGTGCGGGTATGTGTCATAAGTGTCTGGCGGAAAAGGTTTGACGACATACGCGGTGGAATTGTCACATTACGCATGTCATGACCAGCAAGTCATATTCTGCAAACCATTTTACCCTACCATACTTAATTTGGTTTGCCCACGTTATTGGGGTGATCACGACAGCACACAGACGCGGGCGGCTAGATAGATAGGTAAATAGGGATATATGTAGATGGTAAAGGGGTCTGCAGTACGCAAAAAATTTGAAGATAAAAGAATAAAGCAAGTATTCGATAGATCTGCTTGAAAACTAAAAATGTAAAAATACAAAATATAAATAAACATAAAAACTTTGAAATAATGGTGAGTGCAGTTAAAAATGAATTTGGAAACAAGAATACTACGTCCGATACAACAGGACAACAGACAGTCAATATTCCTAAAACGTGCGAAAATATCTTGTGTTAGGCTATCTCCACACAGTGAATCAGTTGTCTGGCAAACTTCAAACCGAGCCACACTTTTTTCTTCAAAATTGATATTCCGTCTGAGTTGGACATTCCTTCACGTTGGACATACTGTCTCGGTTGGACATTCCGTCTAGTTGGACATCCAGTCTCGTTGAACATCCAGTCTAGTTAGACGATCAGTCTCGTTGGACATTCTGTCTCGCTGGACCTTCAGTATCATCGGTCACGTGGCCCAATGGGCATTTAGTTTTGTTGGACATTCAGGCTCTGAGTCCTACAAGACCCACGCCAGCCATCGCTTCAAACGCATCTTCCAGCGCTCACTGCAATACCCGCGTTAGTGCCGTTAAACCCGTGACGCAACCCATTCGCAACGCTGCTACTTCCCATACCATCACGGTTCCTTTCGGGGAGAGGGTTCAAGTTTTTTTTTTAGTGCGTTTTTTAACCTTAACGTAAGGAAATGAATGGATGTGCTCAGAATCGTCATTTCAAACTGTACTAAAATGTCTGCTGTGAGTGCAATTTCAGTGACAACTACGCCATAATTGTTCCTACTTGGAATCAGTTAAGGGCCCACTACGCGTTTGTTATGCAATGCGCGAACGTTTACTGCAGCACTTTGTATTAGGTGACCTTTCAAAGCACCCACTCAATGCATAAGTTCCATCTTTTAACGCCTCACGTGATTCTACACTTCTGCCACGCAATACGTGCGTTGAGAGGATTCCTTCCCATTGTTGACATTCATACTTTGTTTTTTTGTTTCAAATACGACAGTCTTTTTTTGGATATTTCGAAGCGAAAAGTTTGGCCTGCTTGCTATCTGATTGACTGCCAGTCACACAATTCAACTACCCAGTGAAAGTTTAGGCACCTTCTAAAGGCCCAGCCGTCCTGATCAGCTTGCTGCGTTCATACTTGTGAACATTGGTAATGAAAAAGCAAGTATTACGCACATTTTATATGAACATCAATACGGAAGGAATATGTAGCGTATTTTTGATATTTAAAATGCATGTATATTTAGTATTAAACACCACAGTGCTTATTACGCTGCACTGAAGTTCCAATGCTATGAACGAAAAAGTTGGTCTATCCTACGCTTTATTAAAATGACATGGTGCTGCTAGCTATTAGTGGCTCTACGTTCCAAAGCAACTTTCATTTCTTGAAACTACTGCCAGGTGGCGTTGATATTTCACGGAGTGCCTACTCACTGATCGTTTTTGCGCAGAACGTCAGATAAACGTATTACACTCTTTCACCAGACAGAAGACTTTCATCTTTGAAGCTAGTGAAGCTAGCAGAAACTCGGTCATTTTTTTTTTTCGAAAGAAGAGTCGAGAATTTGTGAGACTCGGTGGTCGAAACACCAGCTTGCCACGCAGACAACCTGTGTTTGATTCTCCCTCGGACTGAAGTTTTACAGCAACAGCTGTTGTGAGATTAGAACACGAGTCACGTGTGGCGCCATAGTTGTCCACCGCCACCAACACTGCTGTTGTCCAGAACCAGTATCGCAAAATAAAACTCAATCAATAAAAAGCATTTTGGGACACAATGGGATTCGAACACGGGTGCGCTGTGTGCCAGCCCAGTATTCTACCACAGAGCCGTGCCAGTGCTTGGAACTCGTTTCCAAACTCCCCTTAGGCAGGCTTGATGTCCGGACAGGAATCACGTTAATGTGAGTAACGAAGGGGTTTAGAACATGAAAGGGACAATCAGACGTCACGAACACATCGAATTGCGTAACGAGTCGGTCGTCCAATGCTCCAACCCATTACAAAAGCTTTTTCTTGATCACTTGTTAACTGTGCCACATACCAACTTTGTTTGTTTGTTTGTTTGTATCCTCTAATCCATGGCTCGTACCCACTCTAGGGGATTGGCCAAGAGAACATATAGTCTCATATGGACGATAACTGCATTATTGCTTACAACGAAAAAAAAAGAGGGGGGTTAGGACAGTATGTTAAAAAAAAGAAAGAAACGAAAGATTTAGATAGTGAGAAAAAATAATCAACAACAAAGTAGACAGTAATAGCTACAACTTGATTTTAGGAGCCGACCAGACAGCTGGTTTTGCCAAACCCGATTAATTTGGTATGTCACGGATTTATCCAGAATTGAAAATTACTTTTCGACCCGTTTTTTTGGGGGGGTATCTGTTAACGTGGGCTTTATGTTGAAAACGTTTAGAGTCTTGAATAAAATTACACACCGCATCGAATGCATCTCTGTGGCAATTTCCCAAAACAGAGGCACCAAAACTTAGAACATTTTCTGTGGTTAAACTTAAACCTAGCTTCGCAAATGGAATATCTAAATGTCGTTTCCTAATTAATGCATAGTTACGACATGAGCCAAAATAATGTTCAATAGTTTCTGATTCTACCAACTTCAGGCATAATTTTCATCGTCGTCAGCCACTGCCTAAAAAAAGTTAGACAAAAATTCTAGCAAGTGTGTACAGGGTACCACGCTTCTGCGAAAAATGACGAGAAATAGCATAGTGAATTCCGGCCTACTATTGAAAATTTTTGATTATTCATGGCGTAATAGGTACCGAGCAAGTGTGCTTGTAGTAGTTACTGAAAGAGTGTTTAAAAAAGGCTCTGAAAGCTCTTCGAACTTTCGTTGTGACAGTAGTGTGCGTTCCACGCAGGTCAGGTGGTTTTATTCATTCCTTATTTGATTCGCTTCTTTCGTGGCATTTCTGTCATGAACAACATGATGACTTTTCGCTCGCAGCCAATGACGCTGACGCCAAGGCTGACATGGTAATTTCAGTGAAACGAGCTTTTTATCGGTACAGTGCCAAGTCAGAGGCTGAGAGGTTTTTAACCAACTGGCTAGATCAGTTCAATTCAAGAACAGCCTCACAATCTTCAAACATGCGGAAATATCACAAACTAGACGTGTAAACATACTGTATTTATCCCCGTTACAATTAACTGCCCACTTCATGTTAAAGACTCGGAAAATTCAGATCTCTCAATCGGTTCTTTTTCGTGTAGATAGCACACAATTGACTTTACAGAAGGGGAGCCTGGAAGTGTGAAGTTAACGTAAAGGTGAACGAAAGGACATCTTTCTTCCCAAAAGTAGCCTCCGATGGCTGCTCCAAGCTAATTAATTGTCTATCATTAAAGCAATAATGCACACAACCGAAAAATAGGATGAAACATCGCTTATTATGGTACTTGTTTTAGATGGAAGGAAGTCATAACGAACGTGGTACTATACCACAGCTCTACAACCACTCTCGTAATTTTAATTCTCATATTTATATTATACTTTTTACAGTGATAATCCTCGTTTTCATGACTGCCACGCTACGCTTGGTTTTTGCCATTAACGGGATCACTGCTTGCACAGATGGACATATGGCCTCTTGTCCATGAAGTACCATTTGCCACCATCATAAAAGATGCGGTGAAATAGGTGACGTGAGAAGAAGCGATTAGAGAGAAGGATTGTGCTACGGCAGATAGCTAGGGATCTATAATTGCGATTGTGTTGGTTAAGAAATAAAAACCCCGTGTCAAGGCTGACAGGGACGAAATGAATGCGTCTATTTCGCTTACCTCCTTGAATGCGTACTCGTACGGCACCACGAAAGGAATATTTATAAAGATTGATTGATTTGTGGGGTTTAACGTCCCAAAACCACCATTTGATTATGAGAGACGCCGCAGGGGAGGGCTCCGGAAATTTTGACCACCTGGGGTCCTTTAACGTGCACCCAAATCTGAGTACATGGGCCTACAGCATTTCCGCCTCCATCGGAAATGCAGCCGCCGCAGCCGGGAATCGAACCCGCGACCTGCGGGTCAGCAGCCGAGTACCTTAGCCACTAGACCACCGCGGCGGGGCCAATATCTATAAAGAAGCATAGTTGTCCTACAATCAGTAAGCGCAGCGTAAGCATTCTGTAAAGGTTCACTGGGACATCATTACCGACAGCTGGATCCATGGGATTGCGAAGAACGGCGAGCACTTTGCTGATCCCAGAGGCAATATAGCGGCCAGAGTCTTTGGGCATGTTCTTCAGCAGGTTCATTTGCCTTCGAAAAACACGGTAACGTGCCAAGGCGAGCACAAAGAGAAACACAAACGCGCTGACGACGACTGCGAGCACCAGCCATAGCCTGACTTCAGCGAACCGGATCAGACGTAGAGGCCGCGTCAGGCCGCGCCATGCCTGTTTCACCATCGCCCACAGAAACACGACTTCGCCAGGGATTCGCAGTGGGTCATCACTTAAAACACGCGTTCGACGCCGCTATTTCTACCATTCGAAGAACGGAAGAGTACCGTGCAAAAAAGTGTCGCTCTACGTTTAGGAAATGTTTGCCGGTCATACCGAACACCGGCTTATGTCTCTGTGGACGAAGCAGCGCATGTGCAACGCGACCAGGAAGCCGGGTGTTTGCTCAGTTTCAACAGGCTTACCGTCGTTGGAACAATCGTTTTTGTCCCTCGAGATGGCGTTAAATTTTCAGGCACGTGTAAGCACTTCTTTTTATTTTTATTTACTGCTTTAGACAGAGAGAGCGTCTGCCCGCGGCAGGGAAAGGAGTCGAACAAGCCAAAACGGTGAGCTCCCAGGCTTAAAGCAGTGAGCGCTTTCACCACTAAGCCTTTTCCTTCATGAAAAAAAAAGATGCGAGTGGCTACCCAGCACTGACACTAGAGCCAGAGGCGAGCCTTTCATAAATGCATAAAACGACAATGCGGCATCTTTGGGAAAACAATGTACGCAGACGTTGTAAGAGGATTATCTTTGCTGTAGTTTTTGTTTTCGCACTTCTTATTCATGAATATTTTTTTAACCGTTTAACTGGCGGAAGTCGTAGTTCAAGCATGTATCCACATAACACTTTGCATTATTTAAATAGTCACCGCATACATTGTCTTTTAAAGTACTTGTAGTACCATAACACAGCCGCGCAAAGAGGTGTTCTGTGGTATAAGCGCATAAATGACTCCGCTGAGAAGTAATAATTCTTTCATGAGCTGTCGAAGAAAACTAAACTACTGAAGAGGGTGCTTTGAAGCTACATGACATTATTTAATGATTATTACTATTATTAGAGGTGGGACAATTGAAGCCTGCGTCACCTCGATGGATGGCCGAGCCGACGTTTGTATCTCCAGCATCTGCCCCCACTCGCCCTTTTTCTCCGTGAGTGAGGAGGCCGACGCATAAAATTCGGAACTATAGACGTTTTTTTTTTTCCGTAGGTGCCGCCATTTTGCTAGCGGGCAGCCCTTTTCTGGTCTGGCAACCCATCTAACATGCGGGAAGCTCACTGTTTGCATAGAAAGTGAGCATGCGGCTGCGGTTTAGTCGTTTTGTTTCAGTTTTTGCGCGGTGAATTTCGACTTGAGTGCTGCAGGTTCTTAAGAAAAAGAGTTTACGAGACGTTCTGACAAGTTTCAAGTCGATGAGGGTAAATTGTTTTCTTATACAGTGCCATAAACGAGGCCGCCTGTGTTGAGTAGTGTATTCGCAGCACCGACTTTCTTCTCGAAGAATGCGAAGTATTTCCAGGCCTTTATTTTCCAGAATGAGCAACAACACTTCGAAAGCATGTGAACATATTTCTTGGGGTGTAGTCATCCGTTTTCCTAACGAGATTTACGCCACGCTGTCGCATTGGCTGCCGTTTTTGCATGAAGCAGTGCGCTGGAGTGTAGTGGTTCGTCTTCATTTCGTGGCATTGACGGTTTTATTTAACTGCGCACTAACTGATGTCTAAAGCGTTTCTCAACTCTGAAGAAGTGGCCGTATCTTACTCGCTTGTTTGTATTTACAGGTGTGCACCTGAATACATCAAACGACGCTGACGTAGCTGCGCGTCCCCTATTTATCTTTTTTTAATCGCGATATTTGAGTGACTCTCGGTGCGTTAAGATCGTTTCTGCTGACAGTGAAGCAGACAGTGCACCCGATGTGCCACAGTGCGTGCCCGTGTTGAAGCCCCTATCACGACCGTAAAGAGCACCGTGTATCTCTGCACAGCAGACTATTGGGTTGCTTACCCTTCGTTTCTTTGTTTGCACTAGCTCATGCTTCCCTAATCGTTACCGCGGTACTGCGATAGAGAGAAATGTTACGTGGGGCTGTTTGTCGGGGAAATATTGCACCGCTGGAATAGCTGTAGTATGCACACCTTCCATTCATAGCCGAGGTTAACCCCCGTATTCTAGAACGCCCTTCACTCAACGCTCCACCTTCACTTGAGAAAGCCGATGGGAGCGCCATCTTTTGGGCAGGGCAAGTCACTGCATATTGGCGATAATTTGCTGCTATTCTTGAGTTGCGCAGCGTTATCTTCAGCCAAACAGCGTCGCAGTGCTCAAGTTTGTCAAGTGAAAGGTAAAGGTCGAGTCGAGGAGCGTTTGTGAATACGGGGGTAAGCATCGGTGCCGAAGTCGTTGCGGTTCGTTCCCCTAAAAAGTGTCCTGAACATACCCGAGTACCCGTGAATTTCGCAAAGTTTTCCCTGTTTAAGTTTGCAAGCCATAGAAGCCGCTGCTTCTCGTCAACAGGAAAACGATGCAACTTGAAGAGTCCACAACCACAAAAACTCCGCGTCTGGTAATCCACAAGGAATAATTCTTCCGACAACAGTTTCCTTTTTTTTAGTTGTTACTGCACCCCAAAACAGCACAGTTGTTCTGTGATGACCAATTCTTGGCCGTCATGGCAATGAAGAAAAAAAAATCTGCAGCTTGCTTAATACACATCAAATTGCTCGATAACGTCGCACCAGCATCGACACACACAATCCGAGCCATCACCCGCATGCCAGAGAGGAAGAACGCGTAGGTTGCCAGTCCGGACCTCCTCGCTCGATGCAAAGGTTTATATGCTCAGTGCCATACTCATAAATTCGGAACATCACTTTTAGTTAGCCGGTTTGCACACCACATGGCGTGCACACTTTTAACTTTCAAAACTGGCGCGATAACGTAAGCCACGCGGCAGGCAAAGTGGATAAACATAAAAAAAAGCAGTTCGATGTCGACTGTCACGACCAAGAGTGAACCGTCATCGCTGACTGATGAGCGCTAGCCCAGCCGCGGTGGTCTAGTGACCCGCAGGTCGCGCGATCTAATCCCGGCTGCGGCGGCTGCATTTCCGATGGAGGCGGAAATGTTGTAGGCCCGTGTATTCAGATTTGGGTGCACGTTAAAGAACCCCAGATGGTCAAAATTTCCGAAGCCCTTCACTGCGGTATCTCTCATAATCAGATCGTAGTTTTGGGACATTAAGCACACAAATCAATCAATCTGATAAGCGCAATTCGTATGATGAGCGGTCGATTGGTTGCTCGATTGGGAATCAAATGTTTTTTCTTTATGAATTCGTGCGCACAAGTCACTTCGCTGTGCTTGAAAAACTGTTACTTTAAAAGGGAGTGTTGCCCTTTCTGTCATCGTTTTCAATATATTTCGTGTGGTTGTATAGTCGGTAGCACTAATTTCTTGAAGAAAGTTAGGACGTCCTTTTGTCGCTGCTATTTTTCTAATCTGCAAAGCTAACTTCAAGAAAATATTGGCCCAATTATTTGGCGATGACTCTTTGAGAATATGCAGAGACAGGCCTCAGGTTGCTAATATTTGTTGGCGTCACATAGCAAGTATTTTTTTTTTTGCGCTATAGCGTGAAGGCAACTTGCCGTACCGCATTATCTGCCAGTGACAATCTTTTTGGTGGCTCTAAAAGAAGCAGAAAGGCAGAAAATATTTACAGCAACAAAATTGCTCGATTATACTCCAAAAGTGAGCATTTTAAATAAGACACTTTAATCTTAATCATGTTCATGTTTCTGGAGCACATAACAAAAGCCATCCGAAATAGTGTATTTCATTACCAGCATGACATGCTATACAGCTCGTCTTCCTCTTTTTGCTAACTGTTCGTGGAAGTGTAATGAAACCAATTATATTCGTTTTATTACGACCGTAATGCGCGAGCGTCCGCTGCTACCGAATATGCAAACGTCCTCTGCGGTGATGTAGCAGTTACGGTCCTCAGGTACTGACCAGAAAGCCACGTGTTCGACCCCGGCCATATTTCGATGGAGGCAGAGAATAGTGGAATATACTGTGCGATGTCAGTGAATCTTAAAGAGCACCAGATGAAAGAAATTTACGGAGCCCTACACGATGGCATCCCTCATAATCATGTCGTGCTTTTGGGCCGTACTACGTCGGGTGATAATTGGATGTACATAACCGTGAAGCATACCTCTTTGTTTCATTGGCTGAGTGGTCTGCACATTGATCCATATGCTGGGTTTAACGTCCTATAACCGCTATAGGATTATGAGAGACGCCGCAGTGGAGGTCTTCAGAAATTTCGATTTCAACATTAAATGTTTAAAGCACGTACAAGGGACAGGATATCGTTATCGCGTTAAACTTTTAAAGGCGAAGCTTCAGTATTCACTAATGTTTTGTTATTGCTGTCTTGATGCTCTTGTTAGCGAGCTTTTAATGTAGCCACTATATAAATGTGGAATTTTATGTTATACGCTGGTGCAATTCTACATTTCTGTGACACAACGTTACACGCGCTAAGGTGCCTCCTAACACTAGATGACATTATGATTCAAGCAGTTTCAAACAGTTTCAAGCACATTCAAACAGTTTCAAGCACTGGCTTGGCTGTGTTGTAGAAAGAACACCTGTTTTTTGTGCAGAAGTACAGAATTTGATTTACTGATTTATTTATGGACAAGCTGATTATTGACATTATTCATTTATTTGCATCTATCTCAACAGATCCTGAGACCAGCTCCCGCACCGCATTTTCGGAACAGATCGCTCTTTTTTTAGCACGCTTTTAGCTACCAATGAGTAATCCCGCGCTGTTCAAGAAACTCGAGGTTGGTGTAATAACTATAGTACTGCATGCATCGTTCCCGTTAGTGACGCCTCAATAACACTATATACTCACCTTTTCATTCAGAGAAAATGTGTGGATCACATAGTAATAATATTACAGTAATATCAATGACATTAGTACTATTTATTACTATTATTATTATTGAAAGTAATGAAAATAAAATAACAAATGTATTACTCGCATATGATTGTTGTATTGCTGTTGTTGTTGCTGTTGAAAAGTTTATTGAATTCTGGTGTAGGGATTGGCCGGTAGTTCGACCAACAACTCTAATAAACGAATCTTGCGAGCGAACCAATAGCGTTCTCGTGCAGTGCACGATATAGACAGACCTGCTATGTCACAGGAGATGATGACACACTATAGCATTCATTCCTCTTCACCTCATTATTATTATTCGCTAAATCTGGCACTGACGCAATCGAGCGAGTCCAGA